TGGCATAATTCGTATCAAGATTGGTCTTTATGGTGGTACCATAAATATCCAACGCACATAGAGGATGATAAATTAACGAATTGTTTTCAGTCTTCCCATCGAAGCGAAAGAGTTCAGCCCATTCTGGATTTTCAGTATATGCACTGGAAAAAGAAAAAAATATAATTTAAGGCATTTTTTATCACCTTCTGAATAGATGCTTACTCAAGAGCATTTTTTTTTGTGACAACATCTTTCTTTTTGGCTCTATCATGGGCCACGATTTTCTTAACGCTGAGATTTCTAATATCGTAAAACTTGTCACCAGAAGTTTTACTGTGGATTCGTAATGGGTAAGAACGACTTTGAATTTGCTTCGGCGCTTGAAGCTGACCTTCATAATAGTTTTGAACTAGAAATTTTTACGTTAACGCCGAGTAGAAAAAAAATAAAATTTTTAAAGAGCCGCAATGATACCTATTAGTTGTTTACCATGAAAAGAAGTCGTTCAGAAATTTTACATTTTCGTTTTCTATAATTTCGACTATTCAAAGAGTTTTAGCTTGTTTACAAAGAGTGTTTGGAAGAAAATTAATTAAAGAATATTAGGACCGTTAACCTGCTCTCAAAGTATGACACTTAAATTTCAAAAGCCAGTATAAATATGTATGTAAGTGAATGCAAGCGCAAGTTTGAAATATAAAAAATGGAAAAAACATAGCATATAATGATCCGTCTTATAATTACAATAAGCGTAATAACAACTTATGTGTGGACTAATTTAATTTAGGTAAAACAAAATTCAGTAAATTCTTGCTAAATAGAATCACTTATGGATATACATTCAAACATTAAATTTCTATTGACAGAATCAGAGCAACAGATAACATGTAAGACGGTGCTAATTAGACATTCGGAACTTTGCAAAAACCAGTCTGCTTTGTCTTAAACGCAAAAGTGCATTTTCATCTTTGTCGCAAGTTTCAGAATTCACTTAAACATATATACGAAACAGCATGCTTGGCGTGAGCTTTGTGTTGCACATGGGGCATTTGCGTGTCAACCGTAAAGCTTGGCGTATGCAATTAGCACAGAATACATGGCCGCATTTGGTAGAGGTAGGTTGATTATTAATGCTGCTTTCCATGCATACTGCACACATTAGTGGTGCACGACCGCTGTTATTGTTGTTGTTATTGTTGTTGCTGCTGGTGCTGTTGTTGGTCGTTACAGTGGCGACGGAAACGTTAGAAGGCGCACCAGGCGCTCTATTTGCACGATTCTTATTTTGGTTGTTGGTCCGATTCTTAACGTTGCCAATACTTGCTCTTGAAGTTGCTGTTGAAACGGAATTACGCGATGAACTGGCAACATTTGGCCTTTCCCTAGACATATACGAGGATAATGAGCGTCGCCATGAAGGTCTATCGTCGTTTGTTGGTTGTGCAATCGGAATTTCGGCTGTTCCGCCACCATTTATAGTACCAATTACATTCACATCGGAATTTGGAAACATCCTATCATTAAAGTTGGTTCTACAATGAAAGATCTTTCGAACGATTGTAGGCGTGCAAAGATCAACGATTTCATCTTCACTTGGCGTTACAATGATTACATCGTCACTCATATTTAATTGATTCGGAGGTCTTATTGAGGCAGGCATATTCATTGAATCACTAAGATCAACCAAAACTACGTCTGGAGTTGGAGAGCTATTCTGATTTAGAATTTGTTCGGAAACACGCTGGGGTGTATTACCTGCTGAAATATATACAATGAAAGCTTAGACCTTTTGAATTTATATATGTATGAATGTTTTATTGTTTTAGCTTACGAGATCTATTGACAGCTCCACGGGCTGGGCTGTTTGGTGAAGTTGAATCTAACGGCCCCTCGATCAGTTGCTCTGGTTCCTGTGCTACTGAGCGTAAATTATGCTCCAACATTTCACAAAAACGATCAACTAGAAAGTAAAACAGATAATGATAAGACGTATATAATTGTAATAATATTGGCTAAATATTTGATTATTTAAATTGATTTGTAAGCTTTACTTCTGTTGATTTCTCTGTCAATTTCCCTGGTTGATGGTGTTGAAAGGGGTACTCTGTTTTGTGGGCACAGGCGTGGTGTCTTTGGAGACTTGGGCGAATTAGGACTTGAATTTGAGCCGCCAAGTTGGCCACTGCTGTCGCTGTTGTTGTGTGATCTGCGCCCAAGTAATGGCGCCGCCGTTACTGCTGTAGGTCGTCGTGGCGTTTCTAATATTTCGTAAACGGATGCTATCAGTGAACTTGTGTCAGCTATCAAATCATCCAAATAGCCGTTCTAAATAGCAGAAATAAATGGAACCGTTATGGTATGTACTTCAAATATATAATGCGCGCGCTCCAACTTACCTCAGGCGAACGGCTGGAGTCCCGTTTAATATCCGACATACCTTCGCCTTTACTTTGGATTTACTTCCTTTGGAACTACTCTAGAATTTCAAAAGTCTAGCGAAGAAAATAGGTATAAACGCACAGAATTATCCAAATTCAACAACGCAGGAACAGAAATTTTGCATATACATATGGATCATGAAAGCAACTGAAATATTTGACAAATAGTGATGTGCTGAATTGGCGGTACCCAACACTCGGTACCCAAAACTTCAAATGATTTCGGTAATAAACCCATGAACGAAAGACACAAGATCACGTAAGAACAAGAGAGTGAAAAAAGTCGAGTTTTTTTAGCGGGTTCTACGCCATGTTGTTTCACAGGAAAACGAGCGAAAAGTAAACAAAGCAAAGAAAACAACGAAAACCAAAATTAGCCAAAATTATTGTCAGCCACTTTAAACGCACAATTAAGGTAAAATGATGCAACAAAATGCTTTAAAATGTGTTGTCATGTTGAATTAACTCTTCTTTACTTGAATAAAAGTGTAAAATAGTGGTGCTCGTGATGTAAACAAACGCTCAGCTGACGAACCCGCTTTCGCAAACTTTTTTCTCAAAACCAGTTACAAATACAACGTCGCGTTCTTACGTGATCTTGTATTTTTGGTTCATGTAATAAACCATGATAAAAATATAGCAAGGTAGAACCGTTCTCTCAATTTGTCAGCCATGATTTTTTTTGAAGTTTGCCAACATTTTAAAATCATATAAAAGTGAAAAGATGACTTTGGTTTTTTAATATATGTGTTACTTAAATTTATTTATATTTTACTTCTATGTATGCACATACATACACATATAGTAATTTGGCCTCACTCATCAAAAATTCAATAACTCACGTGACTTGGCTGCACTTCTCGCACACTGCAAGCAACAACACAAAGTGAAGTTGTTGTTTTTGTTACCAATGCGATGCTCGCAAACCACGCTACAAATGAGGAGCATGCTCGCTGAAAATCAAAATTTTTTGATTTTTTGCGAGCATGCTCGTGAACCGCCATACACACGACGAGCATTCACCGCAAGCCGAGCCTGTACGCGCACATGTTCGTCGTGTGTAGCCACTGTTACACTTCCCAATAACGATTCGCTGGCGTCGCTTTGATACCATGATTCAATAATAAAAGGTTTGCTCAAAAAGCAGTTTTCTCGCTCCCTCTCGACAAAATCGGCTCCCTTAGCAAAGCACTGTGTGTGGGTTCGTGTGTGTGTGCAAAGCTTTTGTAAGGCAGCTAAGGGTCTGATTATGCATACTTCGCATAACTTCGCACAACCATTTGTACCAGTGCACTAAAAGTGTAACTTAAGTAAATGTGAAGCAAAATCACAAAGTTTTTAAAAAGTGCTGCTAATTTCTGGGTAATGGAATACACACAAAATGCATACAAAGTACATACGTAATTACAATTTGAAGCTTATGCGAAGTTGGGCGAAGTTATGCGAAGTATGCATAATCAGACCATAAGGGAGTGTCAAAAGTCTAATGTCAATAATGAGCAAACCTTTAATTATTGAATCATGCTTTGATACAAGCGCGAGTAATAGCCCGAACACAATGAAAACGACGAGCTACAGACCACAGCTGTGAAATTATTTTAGCACGTACTCTTATGTAGATAATTATTTAAGCGACGAACGGGCTACGCGACGGCTGTAGTTGTGCCTAGATCTATTTTTCCGGGGACAGATAAGGTTCTTCCTCTTCTTTTATGTCAAGCTCATACAAATCCATAATGTCGCTGCCACTTTCAAAAAAAATCATGGCGTTATCGACAAGGCGTTTAGATAATGAAGATCACAAATTGGAAGCTGTGGCCCGTAGCTCATCGTGTTCAATGTGTTCGGAACTTAACGCCCGTGCTTGCTACAATGAAAGCTTAGCAGCGAATACTTTTGGTAACTAAATTAACATACCAGCGGCAGATAAATCAAAATTTATTATCAACAGTTGCATTACAAACAATATTTCTTGCCCGCATTTGATAAAGAAGGAAAATTAAGTCAGAGTTGAAAAGTTGAGAGTTGGCCATCTTTGCGCGTTGTGTTGGTGTTGACGTTGCCCAACTTTGGTTATGTCAAGACCTTCATATAAATGCATGTATTGATAGGGCCCTGTCACACGGTCAGTATTTATTGACGTGATCCAAGTATCGCGATATTTATTGACGGTGTAGCATGCAATATTGATGGATCGTGATCCATATCGCAAAACTTCTAATAATTTTGAAATCTGGATCGCGGATCGCAATACCGTCAATAAATATTGAACGTGTAGCACTTTCAAAACGCGATCCATACATTTCGTCAGTACATCTTTTACTCTCATAATGCGAACATCGCCTTTTCCTTCGCTCTCGCGGCTTAAAATCTTTCAAAACAAATTTGAATTAACATTGGAAATTTTAAAATAATTGTGGAATGCATTCTCTGTAAATTATAGTTACGTACAAAATAAAAATAATTTCTTGCGTCATAATAAGCTTTCAGCTCAAAAATTATGCAAATACTGATAAATATTGAACATGTAGCATTCGTGCGCGATCCAAATATCGTGTGACAGAGCCCACAGTCAGCTGTCGAAGCGACGCCAAACTAGGAATTTAAAAAAACATCGATGTATCGAGCAACATCGATAGTCATGGCTTCAAACATCGATGTTCGTCGACGCGACATCGATATTTTCGATGCATCGATGCTTTTCGGCATCCCTAGAAACAACCCTGCGTTCAAAAGTGGTGAATAATTGGCTGCTGCTGTTTTTCTGTGAAAATAGTTATTTATTAAAATATTTATAGAGAACAATAAAACCTATCAGAGCAACCTAAAATAAAAATAAAAATAGTGCATCGCTAAAAACTCCCAACTAGTGTAAGTTTCTTTTTTCCTATTCAACCGCTTAGCTTATCATTCATTTATTGAAGTTGCTGCATGAAATGGTGGAACGATTTTTTTTTTTATTAGTGTTCGAATATGTTATTTGTTGCGCTTGTAGATCAGCTATAATCCGATGCACTTGCAATTCAGTTGATAAAGCTTAAACCATCTCACCTTTCATATTTTGTTTGAAAGCTTAATGAAAATAAAGTTTTGAAAGATATTGGGTTATGAAAGGACCTTGATTGGATGCCATATGTTTCCTGGTCAAAAATATAATTATACCAAAGGGACTTCCGCAACAGTTATAGAATAGTGATGATCACCCTTTCTTGTTTCGGCAGTCTTTGTATTGCATTAAATATTTATTTGAATTTCTTCATTTCTTTGCAGGAAAGCTAACTACCCCTAATTACAGGTGGATTACAAAATTGGTTGAAGCCTTCAACTTGAATGTTTGTATGTTCATGCATTATTCCATTTTTTCGATACATCTATACAAATTCTCTTCTATTCCCAGATTTACATCGATAAAATCTAAAGAAAGATATTCGTCGTAAGTACCCAAACGCTGATATTTAATACATTTGTGAAATATGTACATATGTAGGTATTTCTTAACTGAACTCTTTAAAACGGTTCTGGGCTCTTGATATCCAACCGACTAAAAAGAGCACAGTTCAAACTTTGTAAAAAAACACACAGGGCCCCTAGAAACGTCTACAGACTCCTCGAGAACCATTGGAAAATGGTCTAAAATTTGCAATTTGACATTTGAAATATAAACTTGTTAAACAGTGTTTTTGTGTAGAATACCTTTCGGATTTGGCGGCCTTCGGCGGCGCTTAGAAAAAATTACCCTCATCAGTCCAACGCCGGCTACGCTGACCACAGTATTTTAGCCCAGAAATTCTTTTTGTGTAGGCGACCTTTGGCCGCGCTTAGGGATTATAACTCTTACTGCGTATAATTCTCATTTCTGTGTTGTCAAAGGTGTACAACATTTCGACTGCTGAGTGGACCTATCGACCTATCTCGGGAGCCAGTTCGAAAACGCCCTATATAAAAAACTTTTCAAGAACGCCCTATTTCATAATTTTATTGAAAAACATTATCTCAGAATTTGATTGAAGAACAACCTTTCTCAGAATTCGGTTCAAAAATGCCCTGTCTCACTTCAAAATGTATTGAAAACGTGCTGATATAGGGCGTTTTTGAATCGGCAGCTGAGATAGGGCGTTTTTGAACCGAATTCTGAGATAGGGTGTTCTTCAATCAAACTCCGAAGTACGACGTTTTTGAAAAGTTTTTTTAAGATTGGACGTTTTCGAATTGGCTGCCGAGATAGGTCGATCTTGCACTTAACAGTCGATTTCTTGTGCATATAATTCCGGCTGGGGCATCCATTAGTATTTTGCGTAGAACTCACTCCGAAATTCACAAAAAAGTGTATATTTCAGACCGAATATATTAATAAATTAGGCACTGAAAATTACAAAATAAGGCTTAAAAATAAAGTTTAGAAGTTTCAAGTTCACTGGGATTTGAACCAGCGATTCCATCTTAAAAATCCATAAATACTTGTAATTAATAAGCAGCTTGAATTTTAACAAATAATCTTTTGAAAAAGTAGATATTTATCATGAATATTTATAACTTATTGATCAAATTACATTTTCATATGAAGCTCATTATTCCAGTTTAATCTACTAAAAATAAAACAACAGAAACAAGAAAATAATTATTTCATACAAAGTATTTAGCATAAAGATAAAATATGATTAATAACTAATTCAACATACTATTTAAAAGTAGTTGAAACTAAATTTAGTTGAAGTTTTCGATAGCGATAGCGAAAGAGCTTGAGGGCGAATTAAATTCGTTTAGCATAATTATTTCTGACAAAGTCCAAAGAAAAAATATCATGATTTCTAAGGCTCCTTGGTGGGATATTAAATGTAATCCATAAGCATACATATAATAGAAACGCTGTAAAAGTGTAAAATTCAATTTTAAATGTCTGTTTAATGTACAATGTACTATGCTTCAATGCAGTTTTAAAACGAACCAAGAGTTTTTTATTTATACTATTACTAGCAAATACCTGGCATGTTTCGCGACGCCTGATAAGAACTTTTGCGTTGACCAATACAAAAATAGTGTTATGCAAAAAGTTTCGTAATGTAAACATTAGCCGTCATCGCTTCGACAACGGTTAGCGAGTGGTAAAACGAATGAACTCAATGAGGTACAACCAAACTCGCCATCGTCCATTCTTGCTAGCTAACTTTGTTGTAGCATTCACTTGCCAAATTTTTCGTTAAGCGACCGGAACTCCAATATAGCGAGCAGAGAAGTGGCGAATCAATGACGGCTATTATTAGCTTAGGTTGAAAGGACTGACGGACAGAACCTTCCTAACTCATCGGCCAAGAATAATAGCGCTGGTATAACATATGATATATGTATTAATCTCCTTTGGTGCTACAAGCTCTTATTTCCTCCTGAGATATCTGCAAGGTTTGCCAAGAGTGCGTGATCTTCTTTTAAAAGCGACAGCAATGCGATTACTTTTTCGATGTTCGCATTATGAGAGTACAAGGTGTACTGACAAAATATATGGATCGCGTTTTGAAAATGCCAAACGTTCAATATTTATTGACGGTATTGCGATCCGCGATCCAGATTTCAAAATTTTTAGAAATTTTGCGATATGGATCACGATCCATCAATATTGCATGCTACACCGTCAATAAATATCGCGATACTTGGATCACGTCAATAAATACTGACCGTGTGACAGGGCCCAAAGTGAGCCACAGTGATGTTGTTGTAGGCCAACTGAATGTCATTCGATTTTTGTCCGTGAACACATTTTGCGTGTTGTTCTTCCAAGAATTCTGTGTTTGTTGTAAGTGAGCCAAAGTAAGCCACAATGATGTTTTTGTGAGTCAACTGAGCCAATTGATCTACTAGATGAGCACCCCTGTACTAAATCCACGGATTAGTTTACACAAAGAGAAGAAGATACTGAAGACCACCCAGATTGGGAAGTGTCTATATCGTTATAGATGAAAGGTCCAACTACGGTTTCAAAACACCATGTTAATGCCGCACAAACTGATATTTTTATGCAGAAAAATATGTTAAAATGGGGAAATTACTAAAAAAAGATTTTTCACAAATAATACTTCAAGGATTCACCGAAAAATGCATACAA